AGAAGCCAGCCCTGGGTTCCTCAGGGGTGCAAGGGTGGTCACCCCCTATACCCATGTCCATCTCCGTCCCCTTCCAGATCAACTACGGGGGGGACGTGCCCCAGCACTACTACGTGCGGGACCAGCTGGCACAGCAGTATGAGCACACGGTGGTGGTCAACCGTGGCTCGTCCCACCAGGTGGAGTACGAGATCCTCTTCCCTGGCTGCGTCCTCAGGTGAGGGAAGACCTTCAGGCCATGGGGAGGAGGAGGGACACACACACACACACACACAACCCAGGTTCAACCATCTCCCAGAAGGTCCCCATGAAGACCCTTCTCCTCATGGAGGTCCCACCACGAGGGTTGGTGGCCACCTCAAGGTGGTGGGTGACACCGGCACGGTGGGACACACACACACACACACACACACACCCCAGGTTCAACCATCTCCCAGAAGGTCCCCATGAAGACCCTTCTCCTCGTGGAGGTCCCACCACGAGGGTTGGTGGCCACCTCAAGGTGGTGGGTGACACCGGCACGGTGGGACACACACACACACACACACATACGGGTGGGTGTCCCCAGCCCCCACATCGTCTCTTTCCCCACCCAGGTGGCAGTTCAGGTCGGAGGGAGCTGACGTGGGTTTCGGGGTGTACCTGAAGACCAAGATCGGGGAGCGGCAGCGGGCGGGCGAGATGACCGAGGTCTACCCCAACCAACGCTACAACTCCCACCTGGTGCCCGAGGACGGTTCCCTCACCTGCTCCGCACCCGGCATCTGTAAGTGCCTCCCCCTTCCCCAGGGTAGGGGACCCCAGGGGGGTCCCTGTCTCCCTGACACCCCCCACTTCCCCTCCCCACAGACGTCCTGCGCTTTGACAACACCTACAGCTACCTCCACGCCAAGAAGGTCAGCTACAGCGTGGAGGTGCTGCGGCCCGACACCGCCTCCGCCCAGCAGATCCAGAAGCTGGGGGACAAGCTGAGCGAGGTGGCCCTCAACCACAGCCCCTAGCCAGTGCCTCCCACACCGCGGGGGACCCCCCCCACCCCACAGCCGGGGCAGGCGGCTGCTCTGTGTCCCCCCTCCCCGGCCCCGGGACGGCCGGGTGGCCCCCTCCAGCATGGCGGCCGGGAGGATGGATGGAGGAAGGGGGCTGAGCCCCTGGAGCTGACGGACCCAGGCCAGGGACTGAGCAGGGCCCCAGGGGGTCGGAGCACCCGGGGTGTCCCCCCCACCCCCTCTGTGCCTTATGTGGGTCCCACACCCACCCACTGCTGCGTGGGGTGGGGGGAGTAAAGGGATGGATCGAGCTGGGTCTCCTCTGGTCTTTGTCCCTCGGACCCGTAACTGCAACTTGCTGCGCCCTCAGCCCCGTAACTGGGCCCTGCTGCCCCCCTCCCAGCCCCATAACCTACCGTTCTGACCCTCTCCAGCCCCATAACAGGCCCTGCTGCCCCTCCTTGGCCCCATAACCAGCCCCTACTGCCCCCCTCAACCCTATAACCAAGTCACTTCTATCCTCTCCAGCCCCATAATCAGCCCTGTTATCACCCTCAGCCCCATAACGGGCTCTGCTGCCTCCCTGCAGCCCCATAACGGGCCCTGCTGCCTCCATTCAGCCCCGCAACTGGGTCCTGCTATCCCTCTTGGTTCTATAACCAGCCCTGTTATTATCCTCAGCCCCATAACTGGGCTCTGCTGCCCCCTCAGCCCCATTACCAGACCCTGCTGCTCCCCCTCAGTCCCATAACCAGCTTCTGCTGCCCCCTTAGCTCCATAATCGCCCCCCTCCAGCCCCACAACCTGCCCCTACTGCCTCCCTCAGCCCCACAACTGGGCCCTACTACCCCTCTTGGTTCTATACCAGCCCTGTTATTATCCTCAGCCCCATAACTGGGCCCTGCTGCTCCCCCTCAGCCCCATAACTGGGTCCCGCTGCCCCCTCAGCCCCATGACCA